GGCTCACTTGGGAGAGTGCGGTGCTGATAACACCAAGGCCACAGGTTCAGATCCCTATACAGGTATGGCCGGTTAGCTCACTTGGGAGAGCGTGGTGCTGACAACACCAAGTCAAGGGTTAAGATCCCCTTACCGGTCATCTTTAAAAAAAAAAAAAAAAAAAAAAAAAAATTCATGGGGACAAAAAGAATGGGGCTGGGAGAGGTGGAAGTGAGGAGTTACTGTTTAATGGGTACAAAGTTTGGGATGATAAACAATTTCTGGAAATAGACAGTGATGATGATTGCACAACACTGTGAATATACTTAATGCCACTAAATTGTACACCTAAAAACAATTAAAATGGTAAATTTTATGTTATGTGTATTTCATCACAATTTTTTACAGAGGAAATTTTTTAAATTAAAAAACTCTAAGAGCCAATTTATTTCATCTTTACACTCAACAAAACTCAACTAATTGTTGAGCAGCTACTCTGGGCAAGGTATTATGTAATCAACCCTAAGAGGATCAATTATACAATGAGTAAGGCAATGTCTTTGCCCCCAAGGACGTCAAGATTTAGCTGAGAGACAGATATTATAGCATACTGGTAACCCACAGTGGTCTATGTGATCTTCATAGGGATTTCATAAGGCCAAAACTATTTTTATAATAATTTTAAGAGTTTATCTGCCCTTTTCACTACATTGACATTTGAACTATTGGTACAAAAGCAATGGTTGGTAAAACTGCTGATGCCTTGACAGGAGTAAAGGCAGTGGCACCAAACTGAGCTAATAGACATTGTATTCCTCACAGCTACTCACTTACAGTTAAAAACAAAAAAACCAAGCCAGTTTCACTTAAGAATGTCCCTGCTGATGCAATAAAAAATTTTATTAAACCTCGACCTATGAATACACCTTTTTAATACTCTGTTCAAGAAAAAGGGGAGTACACATAACAGGCTTCTGTTACATACAAGGGTACTTCAAAAAGTTTTGGAGCTGGCCAATTAACTCAGTTCCTTAGAGTGAGGTGCTAATAACATCAAGGTCAAGGATTTGGATCCACACACTGGCCAGGTACCAAAAAAAAGGGCCGGCCCGTGGCTCACTTGGGAGAGTGTGATGCTGATAACACCAAGGCCATGGGTTCGGATCCCTATATAGGGATGGCCAGTTAGCTCAATTGGAGAGCATGGTGCTGACACCACCAAGCCAAGGGTTAAGATCCCCTTACCAGTCATCTTGGGGGGAAAAAAAAAGTTCATGGAAAAATTAAATTAAAATATAACTCCAATCCTTCCATGAACTTTTTGAAGACCCCTTGTTCTATGGCTATCTAAAGGAAAAGCACTTTTGATTTTCTGGGTCATGAAATGAACCAGCACATTTTTCATGGACCATCATTAGGACTGATTAAACTGTGTTAATAAGACTTGGGCATTTGTTATACATTTTCTTCAAAATGAACAAAGTGAGCTTTTCACTTCAAGAAAACTACTAGCAGTATTTGCTGCCAATGACAAATTTCTAATTGTTGCTTGAAAAACTCACATTTTGGAAAATGTGCATCCACTACAGTGAACTCCATAGCTTTCCAATACTTAAACATTTGTCTGATGACATCAGTGATACAAACACATGATTTTTTTGATGTTGCATAATGAAATGTGTCGATATTGAGAAGATGTTTATAACTAAGTGAACCATTATTTTCCAAATGACTAATGCACCATGTCACAAAATCATATATAGGTAGAAGATTCATTGAAAGTGCAAGACAGATTAACAGATCTTAATATGAGTACGAAAAGTTCATTAATAAGCTTCCAGATTCCAATTCAACTATCTTTTTTTTTTTTTTTTTTTTTTGTGACCGGTAAGGGGATCACAACCCTTGGCTTGGTGTTGCCCGCACCGCACTCAGCCAGTGACCGCACCAGCCATCCCTATATTGGATCCGAACCCGTGGCCTCGGCACTCCCAGCGCCGCTGTGCTCCCTGCGCCACACTCTCCCCAGTGAGCCACAGGGTCGGCCCAATTCAACTAATCTTAAGAAACTACCACTTCAGGGGCTGGCCGGTTAGCAAAGACGGTTAGACCACTGCCTTGTAACACCAAGGTCAAGGGTTCCCTCTACCAGCCAACCTCCAAAAAAAAATGAAAGAAACTACCACATCAGTGCAGAATATCCAGAATTATCTGAAAAGACTAATAAAATATTTTTTGCTACTACAGACATGTATAAGGCTTTTTCTTTATACACGTCAACCAAACAGCACAACAGACTGAGAGCAGAAGCAGATATGAAAATTCAGCTGTCTTCTATTAAGCTAGACATTAAAAGAAATTTCCAAAAATAATGTAAAACAATACCACTCTTCTCACCAATACTGTGGAAAAAGATGGTTTTTCATTTAAAAAAAAAAAACCCTAGCATAATGAGTTTATTATTGTTTTTAAATAAATATTTTTTAAATTTCTCATATAGCAAATAACAGCAGATGTAGCCCACATAAACAAAAGCTCTTTGGGGTCCTCAATATTTAAGAGTACAAAGGGTTCTGAGAGAAAAAAGTTTGAGAACTGTTGCTATAACCCAATATGCACTATGAAAGGATGCGCAATTCCAAAAGAAACAGAACTCTTCATAGAAGAAAACATATTGACTTGTAGTCTGTATGATGAATATATTTTTGAAACGGAATATTTCAATGTGCCCTGGATAAAGAAACAGAAAATGTGAGTAAGAAACTTAAGTGAATAGGGAGGCTGAATGTGGACCTGAAAGGGCTTGGCCTGTAGATTACAAACTGCAGAGTTTAACTTTCTTTTCTATAAAATGAGGAGCCAACTATGAATATGCGACTGAGATAATTTTTTTTAAATCTGCATTTCCTGTCAAGATGCACATATCCTCAGCATACTCTTTTTTTATTTAAGTTTTGAGGATGGAGTCAGAGGTTTAGCTGTGGTACAAAGTAAACTTTGATATTTGTCTGGAGTATAAGGCTCTAAACTGCAACATAGGAGTGAAGGCTTGGGCCGGCCCGTGGCTCGCTCGGGAGAGTGTGGTGCTGATAACACCAAGGCCACGGGTTCGGATCCCATATAGGGATGGCCGGTTTGCTCACTGGGTGAGCGTGGTGCTGACAACACCAAGTCAAGGGTTGAGATCCCCTTACCGGTCATCTTTTAAAAAAAAATAATAATAATAAATAAATAAATACATAAATTTTTTTAAAAAGGAGTGAAGGCTTGATTCAAAAAGTATATGTATGGGCCGCCCCGTGGCTCACTCGGGAGAGTGTGGTGCTGATAACACCAAGGCCATGGGTTCGGATCCCATATAGGGATGGCCAGTTTGCTCACTGGCTGAGCATGGTGCTGACAACACCAAGCCAAGGGTTAAGATCCCCTTACCGGTCATCTTTAAAAAAAAAAAAAAAAAAGTATGTGTATGTAAGAAAAACATACACATTCACATATAACAGCATGGCCCCTGCTTTACCAAAAAATGTTCAACTAATCGAGTTTATACCATAAAGTCTTTTTATCCTAAAAGTTCAAACATATGGCAAATTCATGTTGCCTCAAGTATACCACAAAACAGGACTCTAAAAAGTTCTGTGTCTAATCTTCCTCTATCTTGTTGCTTTGCTCTCTACTTCTAGTTGCCCTGCAGTCAATAATATAACATATTTCTAGAATATACAATGCTCTCAGTTCTACCCTGCCTACACAAAAACAAGATAAATACATAATAGAAACCCTTGGGATTGAATAGGAAACGCCTACGACAGGCCTAGTGGTTGGTCTTTGAGTCAATCAAATAATTCTTGGCAGAAAGCCAAGCAAATGAAAAACAGACTTTGAAACCAGATAGCCTACAATCTACAATACTTTTCTAAAAATGTCCTGTATTTGACAAATCTTTACCGCTCATTTCTGTCTCTATTCCTCTGCTGAAAATAAAGCAACTTTATCATGCTACCATATACAAGAGGTTTTTTTTTTTCTTTTAAGCAGAAGAGTATAATCTTCTTTTCTCTACAAAGATGCACGTCATTTATTCACAGCAATAAATAAAGAACTATAATCCTGTATGATAATATATGCTGGGTACAGAAATAGACTGCTTTACAAAACATTTAAAACTAAGATTTAACTACAACTACACCGAATTTTTAAATATGAAGATCACTGTTTCCTTTTAGTATACAGAATTCCTTACCTTTTGCTACTTTGATTGACATTTACAACTTAGAGGTACTTTTAACTCAGAACTGTTGAGAACTATCTCGAAGCAATTAGCTAAGGCAAGTACCAAACAAAAATAAAAATAAAAAGTTTCAGAGTCAGCAACACATTCCGCGCTTTTATTTTTCATAAGCAATACAAACTTATGATCCTAAAACATCTTATGATCACCACAATAGAATTCCTTCCAAGACTTCAAGTTATTGGATGATTACATTTCAGCCCTTCTAAATTAGCTTACAATTATTCCAACCACCAGCCATCCGGGGTCAAATTGGAAAACTGACACCACCGGTAGGAGGCAACCGAGAGGAACAAGACAAAATTATGACAGTTTCTAAGGAAACACTCCAATTTTTTCCATCCCTAACTTCCTTTGCCTGGCCCAAGAGTAACATGATTTCAATTTATCTCTTGGCCAAAATCTGGCGCCAGGTTTCAAACACTTTTTCGCTGGCTGACACCAAAGTGAAGCAGCGAAAGGAGACAGGACTGCCTCCCATTGATCGTTGGAGGGTGGAAATAAAGCGAGGATCGGTTGCAGGGAGACAGCAAATCCTTTTCCCAAGGCCACTTTGTTTGCCCGAACCTCCACCCTGAAAAGCGCTATTCGACAAGAGATGCATCTTCACTTCTATCAATTTTCACTTTGACTGCGCTCTCCGTGCTGGAGGCATACGCGACACTGGTGCTATAAAAGCCCCGAACTGCCTGAAAAAGAGGCGGGCGCCAAAACAAGCCAGGGAACTTACCCAGTTTCTTCCACATGGCGAGGTGACAAGCGAGGAAGCCTTTGCGGATAGCAGCGCAAACCTTCGCCGGCTCGGACGAGGTGAAACCTTTCTGCTTCTTAATGAATCCCCATAAGTGCTCCCGGGCAAACTGTGCCGCCTCCCGCCCGCCGTGCCCGTCGCACACGGCGAAAAAGGCCACAGAGGAACGACGGCGGCAGCAGCGGCCGGGAGCCGGCGAGGCCCTGGCGTCCGGGGGAGGGTCGCGAGCTTCCCCGGCTGCCACCGCTGGGCCTTTCTCCGAGACTTCGCTGCCAGGAAGAACAGGCGGTGACGGCTGTGAGGGACAGAGCGGCCGCCGCGGCGAGGGCTTTTCTTCAGCCGTCGGCTCGGGCTCCACAACGATCTGTGTAACGTCCTCCATGTACTTCCTCCCGCCCTGGTCGGAGAAGACGCTCACTCCCAGCGAGTACAGCCCCGCCATGGCCGGCTGGCCGGGATCCCGCCGGTCCCACACAGCCCGCCGAATCCGGCGGCGGGAGACACACTCGGCGACAGCCGGCCAACTATTGTTTATCTTCGACGACGCCGAGAGAGAGGAGGGGGCGGTCCCGGAGGGGGGGTGGCGCGCGATGTCTGGGCTTGTCCGCGAGAACTGGGCCGGAGAGCTGGGGCGAGAGGAGCCGCGCAGCTGCGCCTGCGCACTGCGCATCCCCCGCCTGCCCGCGCCCACCACACAAATCAGGCGTTCTCACTGGCTGTCGTCACTCAGCTCTCTGGGCCCGACCAATCCGGAGTCGAGCGGAGTGAACCCGCCCTCCGCCCCCAACCTTCGCTCCTCCTTGTAACGGCCGCGCTCCCTCCTCCTGCTGCGAGAGCTGGGCCCGCGCCTAGTCTCTAATGTTCATCCCTCGCCGTGGGCTTTTGAGTTCTCCGGGTTTTCCGCAGTTGCTGAGCACTTAGAAGTAACTTGGCCTGTCACCTTTTTATTCGGTCCCTGAGATCGTCATGCGGCCTACAGCTCTTCGCGTGCCGCTGCTCTCTTTGCGGGAAAAGCGGTCTAGTTTCGGGCCTCCCGCTAGTATTGGGAATGTGGGGGAAAAGATTTCACCTTCCACTCCTTGAAGTGAAATGGCGGGAAACCCTTCGGAAGATCGTTTGGAAACAGGCTGGAAAAAGTGTGGCACCCTTGAAGTATATTTGGGTGGGATGTAGCCGACTGAGAATTGAGGAGGGAGGCAATTCAATTTTGTTGCTAAGAAAACTTGGGGAATTTTCGAGACCAGCAGCTGCACGGTCTCGTTTCACGTAACTAATTATGTCAGAGACTTAAGAGGGCCAAATTTTAACTAATTATTAACAGATCTTTTCCGCTTTCGTTAAACGTAGTACTTTTCCCAAATAGCCCTCGATACAGCATTTTATTCCTGCGGTATTACTTCAAAATATTTGAAAATAGCTTACAAAAACTTCTGCCAAGAGCTCCAGTACTCTAACTGTGGTTTTCGTCCCCTTTCCTATTTGCCCAGTAGGTCACAGTCCAAGCGCTAAAACCTTCGTGCGGATTTCCAACGGAACTAAAATGAACCTCAGTGGATAAATTAGCATGTTCTCAGTAGTAAACGTTTTTCTAGTGAATCAATTTGAAATTCGTTTTTTCCATTTTTGGCTACTTCATCACCTCTCCTATATGCTCTTTCCTGTCTGTACAGCCTTTGAGGTTTACACTTTTTTTTTTTTCCTTTGGCGGATGGCTGGTAAGGGGAACCGAACCCTTGACTTTGGTGTTAAAAGAGATTTTTCAAATGGGATGATACTAGTATGGGGATGGGGAAAATGTACATACAAAGTTGGCACAAGAAATGCCAATAGACATCATTCTTTAATAAAAATATAAAGCAAAATTGACTCAAGAAAATGTAGAAAATCTGAATATATCAATTAAATAAAAATGAAAATGTAGACAAGGATATTCTCTACCCCAAAACGCACTAGACAAGATGGTTCCAGAGCATTAAAATGCTTGGGGAAAAATCCCAGCCTATTTTGAGAGGCGATCATAACCCTGTTAGCAAAACCTAACAATAATAACTCTAAAAGGATAGCTGTAGACCATAATTTATAACTAGGAATACAAAAATTCCTAAATGAAATATTAGCAATTATAATCTAGCAGCCTCCATACCACAAGACCTACAAGAGGACAGATTATGTAGCCTGTATTATTCATCTTAAACAGTTTACCCACCTTTGACCCAAGAAATTATCAAAAGATACAGGCATACCTTGGAGATATTGTGGCTCCAGTTCCAGACCACCACAATTAAGAGAATATGGGAAAAAAGCAAGTCACATGAATTTTTTGGTTTCCCGGTACATATAAGAGTTATGTTTAGAGGAAAGATTAGTGAGAAATTGGTAAAAGACCACAAAAAAAGATAATATTTTGTAATGATAAATATAGTAATAAAAAAGTTATTTTTACATTATCCTGTAGTCTATTACATGAGCAATAGCATTATGTATAAAAAAAGTACTCAAGAAAAAAGAATTTTTTAAAAGGACATACCTTAATTTAAAAACACTTTATTGCTAAAAAATGCTAATCATCATTTGAGCGTTCAGTGAGTTGTAATCTTTTTACTGGTAGAGGGTCTTGCCTCGATGTTGATAGCTGCTGACTGATCAGGGTGATAGTTGCTGAAAGTTGGGGTGGCTGTGGCAATTTCTTAAAATAAGACAATGAGGTTTGCTGCATCAGTTGACTTTCACAGATTTCTCTGTAGCATGGGATGCTGTTTGACAGTATTTTACCCACGCAGAATTTCTTTCAAAATTGGAGTCAATCCTCTCAAACCCTGCCAATGCTATGTCAACTAAGTTTATGCAGTATTCTAAATCATTTGTTGTCATTTCAATGTTCACAGCATCTTCATCAGAAGTAGATTTCATTTCAAGAAACCACTTTCTTTTTTTCTTCATAAAAAAGCAACTCCTCGTTCGTTAAAGTTTCATCATGAGATTGCAGCAATTCAGTCATATCTTCTGGCAACACTTCTAATTCTAGTTCTCTTGCTATTTCCACCACATCTGTAGTTACTTCCTCCACTGAAGTCTTGAACCCATCAAAGTCATCCATGAGGGTTGAAATCAACTTCTTCTAAACTCCTGTTAATGTTGACATTTTGATCTCCTCCTATGAATCATGAATGTTCTTAATGGCATCTAGAATGGTGGATCCTTTCCAGAAAGTTTTCCGTTTACTTTGCACAGATCCATCGGAAGAGTCACTATCTATGGCAGCTATAGCTTTACGAAATGTATTTCTTAAATAATAAGACTTGAAAGTTGGGCTGGCCCGGTGGCGCACAGCTACAGTGCGCCGCTTGGGAGCGCGGTGGCACTCCCGCCGAGGGTTCGGATCCCACATACAGACCGGTTCCTGCTCACTGGCTGAGCGAGGTGTGGGAGCAACGCTGAGGGTTGCGATCCCGTTGCCGGTCCTGGTCCGGTACGGGCGCGACACTGAGGGTTGCGATCCGTTGCCGGACACGAAAAAAGACAAAAAAAGGAAAAATAAATAAATAAATAAGACTTGAAAGTCAAAATTACTCCTTGATCCATGGGCTTCTGAGTGGATGTTGTGTTAGAGGCATGAAAACAACATTAATCTCCTTGTACGTCTCCAGAGCACTTGGGCGACTCAGTGCATTGTCAATGAGCAGTAATATTTTGAAAGGAATCTTTTTTTCTGAGCAATAGGTCTCAACAGTGGGCTTAAAATATTAAGTAAGCCGTGCTGTAAACAGATGTGCTGTCATCCAGGCTTTGTTGTTCCATTTATAGAGCACAGGCAGAGTAGATTTAGCATAATTCTTAGGGGCCCTAGGATTTTCATAATGGTAAATGAGCGTTGCTTCATTAGCCCCTAACAAGAAAGCCAGCCTGTCTTTAGAAGCTTTGGAGTCAGGCATTGACTTCTCTCTACCTATGAATGCCCTAGATGGCAACTTTTTCCAATATGAGGCTGTTTCGTCTACATTGGAAGTCTGTTGTTCAATGTAGCCACTTTCATCAATTATCTTAGGTAGATCTTCTGGATAACTTTCGCTGCAGCTTCTACATCAACACTTGCTGCTTCACCTTTCACTGTTACATTATGTAGATGGCTTCTTTCCTTAAACCTCATGGGCCAGTCTCTGCTAGCTTCAAACGTTTCTTCTGCATATTCCTTACCACTCTCAGCCTTCAGAGAATTGAAGCGAGTTAGGGCTTTACTCTGGATTAGGTTTTTTTTTGTGTTTGCTGTGCAGAGGCTTTTTAGTTTGATATAGTCCCATTTGTTTATTTTTCCTTTGGTTGCCCGTGCTTTTGGGGACATATTCATGAAGTCTGTGCCCAGCCCTATTTGCTGAAGGGTTTCTCCTATGTTTTCTTTAATAAGTTTTATTGTTTCGGGGTGTATATTTAAATCCTTGATCCATTTTGAGTTGATTTTAGTACATGGTGAGAGATGTGGGTCTAGTTTCAATCTCCTGCAAATGGATATCCAGTTATCCCAGCACCCTTTGCTGAAGAGGGAGTCCTGACCCCAGTGAATAGGCTTGGTGCCTTTGTCGAAGATCAAATGGCAGTAAGTGCGTGGGTTGATTTCTGGGTGTTCTGTTCTATTCCATTGATCAGTGTCTCTGTTTTTGTACCAGTACCATGCTGTTTTGGTTATTGTGGCTTTGTAGTATAGTTTAAAGTCAGGTAGAGTAATACCTCCAGCTTTATTTTTTTTTGCTCAGCGTTGCTTTGGCTATTCTTGGTCTTTTGTTATTCCAGATAAATGACTGTATAGTTCTTTCCATTTCTGAGAGAAATGTCATTGGAATTTTGATGGGGATTGCATTGAATTTGTATATTACTTTGGGTAGTATAGTCATTTTCACTATATTGATTCTTCCAATCCAGGAGCATGGGATGTCTTTCCATCTTTTTGTATCCTCTCTAATTTCTCTCAGGAGTGGTTTATAGTTCTCGTTATAGAGATTTTTCACGTCCTTAGTTAGTTCAATTCCTAGGTATTTTATTTTTTTGGCGACTATTGTGAATGGGCAGGCTTTCTTGATTTCTCTTTCTGCTTGTTCACTATTGGTGAATAGAAATGCTACTGATTTTTGTGTGTTGATTTTGTATCCTGCTACTGTGCTGAACTCTTTTTTCACGTCTAAGAGTTTTTTAATAGATGATTTGGGCTGTTTGATATATAGGATCATATCGTCTGCAAACAGGGACAGTTTGACTTCATCTTTTCCAATCTGGATGCCCTTTATTTCCTTCTCTTTTCTGATTGCTCTGGCTAATACTTCCAATACTGTGTTGAATAGGAGTGGTGAGAGTGGGCATCCTTGTCTGGTTCCTGTTCTTAAAGGAAAAGCTTTTAGTTTTTCCCCATTCAGGATGATATTGGCGGTGGGTTTATTATATATGGCTTTGATTATGTTGAGATACTTTCCGTCTATACCTAATTTATAAAGGGTCTTTGTCATGAATGAGTGTTGGATCTTATCAAATGCTTTTTCGGCATCAATAGAGATGATCATATGGTCCTTGTGTTTGATTTTGTTAATATGGTGGATCACATTTATTGATTTGCGTATGTTGAACCAACCTTGCTTCCCTGGGATGAATCCCACTTGATCGTGGTGAATGATCTTACATATGT